TTAAAAATCAAAAATTAAAATTAATATTTACCCTCCTATAAATATTTTTATAGAAAAAAATTGATGCACGTCTAATATCTGGCTCCATTAATAGCTGTCATGTCCTCCTGTCAATGCCACATTCCACATGGCGCTGAACTTCAGACTCTCACCGCCTAGTCTACAGCGTCTGATGGAGCTGATTAATAATTGTATATTGCCACCCGCTCAATAATTGTACATTCATACAGTGACATACTAACATTTTCTGTCTTCTATGGGCTAACAATTGCTTTTTCTGAATTGTTTTTCCGGACTTCTGCATAAAGTTGTTCCCCTACTTAGCTTTGCTGGAAGGCAGGTAATTCCACCAACCCTAAACGTTTGTGGTCGAACTTCAAGGTCTTAAAGTTCTCCTTTTCCTAAGTTAGTCACGTGCTTATGAGCTGTTATCCATGCCCTGGTCTTCTATTTTTATTTCACATCTTCTTGTTTATAAATGATGTTTTAGAAGGTTCTGTTTGGAATTTCGTTTGAAAAGGAAATTAATTTTAGGATGAATTTGAGATTGTCTTTTCTTTTTTTTTGGTGTTTAGTTTAGATCTGTTTAAGTAGTTCTGGTTTTAGTTTTGTGCAATTGATAAATTGATTTTTCTTTTGGTAACGAAATCGAATAGGCAAATCTAAAATTTCCAGGTTTCGGTTCTTCAACAATGAACATCTTTTTCGTTCAATTTACAAATAAATATTACGGTAAAATGATCTGCAGCCGGTGGTGTTAATTTTTAGGCGGAATGAATTATTTAAATGACACCGTTTCAAGTTAAGCTCTGCAACATGTTGTCCATCCGTGCGCTACAGTAGACAGAGGCTGGCTTGGTTTTTGCAAGGAAAGAGGGCGGAGAAAAATCGGAGGGCTGTGAATGCGGGAGACCTAGGGTTTTCTTGAAATTTCTTCTCCTCTGTAACTTCGGAGATTGTGGGGTGTTACGGGGGATTTTTTGGGTTGAGCCGACAGTGGAGAGGGCGGAGAAAAATCGAGCAAAAAAAAACAAGAGGAATTTTTCTTTCTTT